CGGCGCTGCGCCGGCCGCGGGAGCGCGCGTGCGCGCGGGCGGCGCGAAACAGAAAGGCGCCGAATATTAAATGAAATTAGGATTTTTGAGTGTCTTTTAGCCACTGCGATCGGCGAAGCATGAATTTGGTCACGCTCTGGACAACTCGCGACGTGCACTGGGAGTTTCAGCAGGAAGGTTTGTCGCGCCTGTTCAGCAAAATCGGCCGCGTTCGCAGAGTCATCGCTTTTTTTTACGCGCCGAATCCGCTGCAGCCGCACTTGCCGATGGCGCTGATCGAGTTCGAGAACGAGTCGGACGAGCTCGAGGCGCTCTTCCAGTACAACAGCCGCGTCGTTGCAAACTTCGGCTTGTTGCGCGTCTGCATCACCACGCGCAAGTGCGCCGCGGCGTCTTTCGCGAAGATGTACAGCGAGTGCGCGCCGCAGCGCAACGCGCCGGAGCCACTGCCGACTGCGCCGCTGCGCGGCCTGCCGGACCTCGGCGGCGCGCGCAAGCAGCTGCTCTCCGCGGACGCCGACAGCGCGCCCGCGGGCTACGAGCTGTGCTGGATCATGAACGTCGACAGCGAGCTCTTCTACGTGCGGACCTTCGACTTCATCAAGCACTTCGTCGGCAGCGGCCAGTGCAATATTTACTACATCTTGGCGAAATGCGGCCGCGCGGTCAAAATTTCGTTCAAGAACAGCGCGCTGATGGCCGGCCGCGCGGGCGACCAGCTGCACTTGCAGCTGGTCAGCGCACAGAGCGCGCCGTTCTGGACTGCGGTCACTGCGATCATGGACTTGCTGACGTCCGTGTGTTCGCAGTACGTCGACTTTGCGCTCGCGAACGGCTTGCCGCTCGGCTCGATGCTCGGCTGCTCGCTGCATTTTTACTCGCGCCGCGTCGACAAGAGCAGCGGCAAGGAGACGATTTGCTACGAAGGCTACAAAGACCTCACGAAAAGCTGGAGCGAGACGATTTTGAAAGACGTGCCCCTGTCGAAGGAGCAGGTCTTCAAGTGAGTCGTGCGCAGTCCGCGCTATTTTTGAAGCCCGGCTGCTCAAGGCGCCGGAAGCGACTGGTGAACGTTCCGCAGAATATCTGTGAGCGCGGCCAAGTCGACTTTATTATTAGTTAGGCAAAATTGAAGAACAACTGGAGTTCCACTCGGTTGCAGTGCCCCGCTTAGTACAGCGAACTTGCACATTAAATATAGAGGGGTCGATATCGGCATTGATTTTTCGATCGGTTTTTTGAAATTTTTAGTCAGCAGGCATAATCGATCATAGCCCGGAACGCGGCGTTCCAGGTGCGCCGCGCCCCGGCGCGCGTCGCGTAGCTTCAGCAGCTCCAGCGCGGCGACGTAGCGTTCGTACAGCTGCTGCAGCACCGCGAGCGGCAGCGGCAGCGCGCGGTGGAAAGCCAGCACGAACCAGCGCGTCGCGCAGTTCGCGAAGACGCGGTAGCTCCAGAGGCGCGAGACGCGCGCCCGCGCGAACTCGCGCACGAGCACCGCGTCGCGGCGCGCCGTGAGCGGGTCCGGCTGCGCGGCGACGTGCGCGACGCAGAAGTCCGCGGCCGCCGCGAGCGTCTCGGGCGTCAGCGGCTGCCGCTGCGCGAGGTAGTCGCCCGCCAGCAGCGGGCCGCCGCGCAGCACGCGCGTCAAGGGCCGCGCCGCCTCCACGTCCGTCTCCGCATCTGAACCCGCGACCGGAACCGTTTCCGGGTCAGCAAGCGCTCCCGTATCCGAACCCGCGTCCGAATCGCCAAGCGCTTCCGCGTCCGGCTCGCGGTCGAAGTGCGCAATCAGCAGCGCGACGAACGCGGACCGCAAGTGTTCCGCCGCGGGGTGCAACACGAGATACTTCACGCACAAACAGCGCAGCAGCTCGACGCCCGGGCACAGGTAGAGCGAGGAGAGTAGGTAGGGGATCTGCGAGCTGTCGCGCACCGGCGTCGCGGCCGACTCGCGCGCGACGAGCGCGACGCCCAGCGGGTGCGCGGCGCCGCGCGCGCACAGCAGCAGCAGCGCGCGCTCGCCGAAGTCCGTGAAGCTCAGCAGCGCGTCCGGCGAAATGTGCCGCGCCTGCGCGTGCACCAGCGCAAAGACCTGCTGCAGCAAGCGCTCCCCGTCGCGCGAGAACTCGGCCAGCCGGTCGCGGTCCACCACGCGCAACTCCAGCGCCGGCGCGGGCGCCGCCGGCAGCGCCAGCGCGGCCAGCGGCGTCGGCCGCAAAAAGAGCAGCCGCTCGAGCCACTTCTCGAGCGGGTCGTGCGCTGCGTAGCGGATTGGCGTCTCGAGCGTGTGCCGCACCAGCTCGCGGCCCAGCAGCCGCAGCTCCTCGAGGTGCTGCCGCAGGTACAGTGCGCCGGTGCCCTCGTAGCCGCCCAGCGTCGTCGAGAGCAGGCAGGGCGCCTGCGGAAACCTGCAAATCAACTGCGCCAGCTGCGCGTGCGGAAACGCGCCGGCCTCGTCCACCGCCACGCACGAAACCGCCGCGCTATCGCGCGCAAGCAGTGCCTGCGGCGCGCAGTACTCGAGCAGCGCGCCCGGCCCCGCGCTCACCGCCACGCGGTGCACGAGCCGCACGCGCGCGCTGTGCCGCGTCTCCTCGCGCGGCGCCTCCTCAACGGTCACCACGAAGTCGACTTCCTCGCGCAGTCCCGCCGCCAGCAGCGCCTTCACGAAGAACTCGAACAGCGCCTGCACGTTCTGCGCGCGCGGCGCGGTCAGCGCGACGCGGAGCGGCCGCGCGCCCAGCGTCGCGCACAGCGCGAAGCAGAGCCCCAGCCCCGCGGACTTGCCGCGGCCGCGGCCCGCCGTGAGCAGGTGCGTCGCCGCACGCCCCGCGTCGAGCGCCTCGTACATGCGAAACACGAACCGCAGCTGGTCCAGCGTCTTGCACAGCGCCATCACCGCGTGCAGCTGCGGGCGGTCGCGGTAGCGCGCCACGTGCTCGCGCAGCGTCAGCTGCGCCGCCGCCGCCGCCGCCGCCTCCGCTGCGCCGCCGCGCGCCGCGACCCGCCGGTCGAGCTCCGCGAGCGCGCGGCCCGAGATGCGCACCAAGTTCAGCTCGCCGTCGAGCACCAAACAGTTGTAGCACTGCGCGAAGGAGCGCAGCGTGCGCCCGTAGTGCCGCGGCGCAGCCGCGAGCAGCGCGGCGTTCGATCGCGGCTCCGCGCGCGCCGGCGGACCGAACACGCGCTCCAGCTCTGCCACTGACTCGACGAGCAGCAGCACCAGCCCGCCGCCCGCAACCGTTTCGAGCGTCTGGCAGAGCAGGTTCGGCGTCAGCTGCGCCGCGTCCTGCAGCACCAGAAAGTCAAACGTCAGCCCCAGCAGCGACAAGTGGTCGCGGTAGCGGCAGTAGCGCACCGGCGTGCCCGCCTGAAACAGCCAAAATTCGTCGACAGCTTCGTCGCGCAGCTCGAGCTTCGCGCGCTTGCGCCGCAGCTGCTTCAGCTTCTTCAGCTTGTTCGCCGTAAACGGGAGCGCCTTTTCGTAGCACCAGCACACCGTCGGCTTGCGCCGCAGCCGCGCGCCCAGCACCGAGTGCAGAGACACGACGGTGAGCTTCGGGTCGCGCGCCGCGAGCACCAGCACCGAGCGGTGCGTCTGCTGCACGCTCAGTTCCAGGAGCTGCGAAAGGCGGTCGTCCACCTTTCGTCGCATGTCCGCCGCGAAGTTCCGTCGCTTACTGGATCTCCGGCAAAAGCTCCAACAAGCTTTTATATGAGATTGTGAAAAAAAGCAGATATTCGCGCAGCCGCTCGCCCGCGCTGTTCTCGCAGCTCTGCCGCCGCAGCCGGCACGCGCACTCCGCGTGCGCGTAAAACTGCGCCAGCTCCGGGTGCTCGAACTCCAGCTGCGCCGCGCGCGCCGCGCCGCGCGCCAGCCGCGCGCGCTTGCGCGACTGCGCCTCCGCCACGAAAGCCTTCGCGACGCACAGCACCGCGTCAAATGCGTAGAACGGCTGCTCCGCCGCCTCCGCAGCGCTGAGGTCCGTCAGGCCCAGCGTCCACTCGCGATCCTGCACGAGTTCGCGGTACAGCCGCTGCACCACGCTCGCCGGAAAGCCCGGCGGCAGTCGGCACGTCAGCAGCAGCGCCGTGCTGCGCGCGCGCAGCGCCTCTTGCAGCGGCGCGGCCGCCGCGCCGACACGCTCCAGCTGCTTCTGCAGCGTGCGCCACAGCACCTCGTACTGCGCCACGTTCAAGAAGGTGTGCACGCCGCACAACGTGCGGCTCGCCGCGTCCTCCGCGTCGAGGAACACCAAACAACCCAGGTTCTCCTGCTCGACCACCAGCTGCGCCACCTCCACCGCGCTCGCGCCGAGCGTGCGGCACCACGGCGCGACGAGCTGTCGCACCGCGAGCTCGTGCTCGCGCGCCGGCGCCGCGAGCACCAAGCTCACCTCGACCGCCTCCACGGCTTCCGCCGCGTCAGCCTCGCCCGTCGCGTCCGCCGCGTCTGCCGCGCCAGCCGCCGCTGGTGCTCCCGCACCGCTACTGGCTGCCTCGGCGCCGTCCATCTTGTCGCTCGTTTTAATTACCCAATTTTAGCTAGCCGTTTTGCGAGCCGCCACGCCCGGCACGATTCGCTGCTTCTGTAACATTAGTTGCGCGAAAAGTCTTCGTGCGTACCGGAAAATGTTGGCTGTCTTTTAACATTCGCCTTGCCCCGCATGCAACATCATGCCTAATTTCAATGACAAAAGCAAGCCTTCTTTACAGCCGTTGGACGATGGGTAAGTGCTACGCGAGCGCAGCCCATGCGCCGTTTCGCCACGTTTCGGCAAAACGGCGTTTGAGTGCCGCGCTCTCCCTTGTACACTACTTAGTGAAGTTTATCGCTCCTTAATTGCACAAAGGCACAAGCTTGTCGAAGTCATGAACCTATCGCAGCTAAAGCGCATCACAAACACCAGCTTCATCGAGCCCGAGCACAGCGACAAAACTCGCTACCGGCGCGCGATCGCGAAGCTGCGCGAAAGCGTCCGAGCAGATGTGCAACTCGGCCCCGCCTACGTGCACGTGTTGCTGCGCGACCCGTCGATGTGGATCCGAGACGACGTCGAAAAGGCGACCGACGAAGACTGGGAGTTCATCGAAGAGCTCGAGCGCCGCAAGCTGCGACAGGCGGGGCTCGCTGCGCCGCACGCGTTCGCGCCGCCGCACTTCGTGCACATGAAGCCGAAACTGCCGAATGTGCGCCAGAAGCCCGCACTCGCCGAAAAGGCCGTTTCGGTCAAGCCACTCCTCAAGTCGAAGTTCGAGTGGCACTCCATCCAATCCAATTAACTGGCAGCGCCGTCACGCGCGCGCCGCGCGAAACTCTTCCGAACACTTGAGCAAGTTATGCACCGCGATCGTCAAGAAGACGAGCCCCACGACCACGCGCAGCAACGAGTCGTTCGGAATTTTGCGCAACAACTCTCCGCACAGCATGGCCAGCGCTGTGCACAGCAAGAACCCAAGCATCGCGCCGGCGAACACTGCCACCGGCGCGTGCTGCGAAGCGAGCCCGATTAGCGCGAACTGTGACTTGTCGCCCATCTCCATGCACGCCACCGGACTCGCGACGGCCAAGAGCTTCAGCCAAAACCGCTTGGAACTCGGGTCGGCGCCGCACGTCTCGCTAACAGTTTCTTTTTTTCTCGTCCGCACCGACTCGACGACTCCCAGTATCGAGTCCGCGCCGAAGTAGCCGAACATCAAGCCGGCTGTCAGGTGCATCACGTAGCGCGGCACGTACCAGTTCGCCACCGCGGCGAAACAGATCGTTGCCGCCGAAAGCAACCCGAACGCGAGCATCGCGCCGCTCAGCGTCGCCGACCAGCCGGCGACGTGCGTGAACGCCGAGATCGCGAAGAACGTCTGCGTGCGCCGCCCGCGCACCTACCTTGTCCAGCAGCTCCGACAGGAGCACCACCGAGAACGCCGTGGCCGACTGCTTCAGAACGCCCGGCATGCTTCCACAGATTGCAGTGGCAGCGAACCTGCCAAGCGCACTCGATCGAAAACAGCAGTAAATTTACACAAATTAATTGCGCAGCCGCGCGCGGCGCGCGCGCCGGGAGGCCGCGGCACGCCTAGAACAGCCGGAAGACCTTGCGCGGGTTGCCGAAGATTTCCTTCGATTCCGCGCTGAGCACGTTGAAGCAGACCGTCTTCGCGAGCGGGCGGCACTCGCCGACCGTCACGACGTCGCCGACCTTCACGTCGAACGCCGGCGAGCAGTGCACAGACATGTTCGTGTAGCGCTTCTCGAACCGGTTGTACTTCGGCACGAAGTGCAGGTAGTGTCGGCGGATCACGATCGTGTTCTTCATCTTCTTGCTAATGACGAGCCCTTTCAGAATGCGCCCGCGAATGCTCACGTCGCCGGTGAACGGGCACTTCTTGTCGATGTAGGTGCCTTCGAACGCGGCGCGCGGAATCTTGAAGCCGAGCCCCGGGTTGCGCACCCAGCGCGGCTTGCGCCCGCCGGTCTTCACCAACTTCAGCGCCTGCTTCGAGTTGAGCGAAACGCTCTTCTGCTTGCGAAAAGCTCTCTCGTGCTGCCGTCGCGCGCCCGAGAACCTACCTGGAGTTCGAGCGCTTCAACGTGAACCATCGAAATTACGGAACAAATTAAATATTAAGGCAATAGACAAAAACATTTGCCGGGCGCTCGCGCCGCTTACACGATCGAAGGCGCGACCGACGAGATTTTCGGGTACAGGTCTGCGCACTCCTTCGCCACCGGTCCGGTGATCGCAGAGCCTTTCATCTCGCCCTTGTTGTTGACGATGACGCCAGCGTTGTCCTCGAAGTACACAAACAACCCTTCGGGGCGGCGAAACGGCCGGCGCTGGCGCACGATGACTGCCTGGTGCACTTTTTTGCGCAGCTCGGGCTTTCCCTTCTTGACGGTCGCGAGCACCATGTCGCCGATGGCAGCCTTCGGTAGCCGATTCAGCCGCGCGCCGGTGCCCATCACGGCCATGATGTACAGGTTCTTCGCGCCGGAGTTGTCGCAGCAGTTGACGATGGCGCCAACGTTGAGGCCGTAGCTGATGCGAATCTTCTGTCCGGTGACACCACCGCGCCCCCTCTTCATCGTGCGCTCGTTGTATTTTAATATTTAATTATTGTTGTGTCTAAACGAACGCAGCAAATACTCTCGCTCCCCGCGTTCAGCAGTCTCGTCAGCCATGAGCAGTCTCGCCTCCGACGTGAACCAAGAGCTGCTCAACAAGAAGCTCATCACCAAGCTTCCGCACTCGAAGATTGAGAAGCGCAAGCGCCGGCGTCGCGGCGAAACGTTCGGCATCTACATCTACAAAGTACTGCGGCAAGTGCAGCCGCACATCGGGCTCAGCAAGAAGTCGATGGCGATTATGAACAGCCTGATCGGCGACATCTTCGACCGGCTGGCCACCGAGGCCATCCGACTCGCGCAGTACAACAAGAAGCGCACGCTCAGCGCGCGCGAGATCCAGACGAGCGTGCGTCTGCAGTTCCCCGGCGAGCTCGGGAACCACGCGATCAACGAAGGCACGAAAGCGATCGAAAAGTACAAGGACGTCAACAAGTAGCGCGCTACATGTCGAACGGGTTGTGCTCGATCTCCGGCTGCACCGGAGACGCTATGAGCGCCTCTTTTTCGAGCTGCTCCTGGCTCTGCCGCTTCTGCAGCAGGTCCTGCAAAATGTGCTTGCGCTTGTAAAAGCCCTCTTCTTTGTACCACTTGACTGCGTGTAGAAACGTGCGGAACGTCGCGCCCAGCAGCACGAGGCCTTGGTGCGTCACCGCCAACGCCTCTTTCGTCACGAACGGCGGCTCGGCCGCCGCGGTCTTCAGTACGGTGTACAGCACGAAGCGCTCGACCGGCTGGCTGCCGGAGCAGCTCTTCGGGTCGAAGCTGACGAACCAGGCGGGCGTCCTCTTCTTGCCGCTTTGCAGCGGCGCGGCCTCGATGCGCTGCGCGACCTCCGCTTCCGCACAGAACTTTGCGTGCGTGATCACTTGGTCGCAGAAGTGCAGAAACGGGTAGCAGATCGTGCCGAAGATTTCTTCGTAACTCGAAAATTCGCGGTTCAGCACGCGGTAGCTCTTCTCGCTGCCCGCGCCCGTCTCGAGCACTTCGACGAAGCGCAGCCGCGGCGGCTTCGAGCTGATGCCAATGAACATCGTCACGTTGCGCGTCTTCGGGTTGACGCCCAGCACCACGCGCTGCGCGACGCTCGAGTACGGCGGCAGCAGCGCCAGCTTCGCGACGATCTGTCGGTGTGAGAGGCGGCTGATCAACGCGTCTTCGCGCAACTCGCCCGCCGCCGCGCCGCCCGCCGGCTTCCGGAGCACCGCGAAGCAGTTTCGCGCGAGCTGCTGCGAGAGGTTCTCGAGGAAATTGCTGCGCAGCTGGTGCGATTCGAAGAAGCTCGAGAGCGAGGCGGCTTTGACCGCCTCAAACACGCGCGACGGGTCCACGGTGACCACCAGCATCAGCGTGCGCAAATTCACGTCGCAGACGAACGCGACAAACGTGTCGCTCGCGAGTTCGCTGTCCTCCGTGTTGAGGCTCTGCGAGCCGCCGAGCAGCTCCACGCGCACCTCGCTGTTCAGCAGAAAGTAGCGGTCGCCGCAACAGCGCACGCAGACCTTGCTGCCGGGAAACAAGCAGTCCAGCGAGGGCAGCAGATGGATGTACGAGCGCAAGAACGAGAGGCCTGGCGAACGGTACGCGGCGCTGCCGAACGGAAACACCAACTCGCTCTTCAGCCGCTCGAGCAGCGGCAGCGCGCGCTCGACGCCCGTCTGCACGAGCATGTACGAGTACTGCTCGAGGTCCAGGTCGTCCAGAGTTTCCTTGTTGTCGAGAATCGTCTCGACGCGCTGCAGCAGCGGCGCGCGCGCGTCCTCGTTCTCGCACGCCTCGATGATCTCGAGCGCCTTCGGTGCCTCGAGCTCTGGGTGGATCAGGCACTCGCTCAAGTAGTCGTACGTCTCGCCCACCGCACCAAATCGACCCGGTCGGCAGAAGGAGACGATTTTCTCGTAAATCGGCGCCTGCGCGACCAGCTGCAGCGAACTCGGCTCGCCGCGCGCGTCGCGCAGCGCCTCGAACAGCCGCGCACCCGCCGCAGGGCCCAGGTCGTTCAAGTACTGCAAACAGTTCTTCAGGTACGGAAACTGCTCGAGTAGCGCAAGGTCTACGCCGCGCTTGTTGACGTACTTCACCAGCAACTGCTGTGCGGCGCGCCGCCGCACGGCCTCCGGCAGTGCCGCGGCGAACCGGTGCACCGGCACGCTCGCGAGCGCCTCGACGTCCAGCGCGCAGTACAGCGCAGGGTTCAGCACGTAGCGGATCGCGTGCACACCGAGCACCTCCACCGCCGACAAGCCCTCGAGCCCTTCGCGCGGCAGCCGTGCCTTCGCCGCCTCCAAGTAGCGCATGTCCAGCAACAGCACCTGCCACGCGAGCGCCTCGCCGCCGAGCTCCGCGGCGAAGTCCTGCAGCCGCGTGGACAGCTTCACGGAGCTGAAGTTCAGCAGCGGGACCACCACGATGTTCGGCCGCGTCTCCGGCGCGGCCAAGTAGTTCTTCAGAAACAGCGCTCCGCTCTCGCGCTGGTTCGGCGGCAGCGTTGCCGGGTCTTCGAGCAACACGTTCAAGCTCGCGCTAAACACGCCGTTTGCGCTCGACACCACCGCAATTGCGCGCGTCAGCGAAGTGTGGTTCGCGACGAACAGCACCGAGGGCGACGTCTGCGTCGGTAAGTCGCGCAGCAGCGCGAGCCGCGCGCTGATCTTGTCGGTCTGCGCGCTGTCGCCGCTCGCGATGCTCTGCAGCTCTGTCCCGAGCTTCTGCAGCAGCGGCGCGCTCAGTTGCTTGAACGCCAGGAACCGCGCGCGGAGCAGCCCCGTGCACTTCGGGTGCTGCTCCGGCACGTTCCAGTGTGCGCACGCGCGGCTCGGCGCGACCAAGAACTCCAGGTTCCGCGAGTACAGGTGACGCACCAGCCGGCGCGCGCGCTCGAGGTACTGCTGCAACAAGTCCGCCTTCAACTGCGGGAGCAGCTTGCGCTCGAGCGCGTGCGTCACCACTTCCGCCAAAAATTGGTGCCACAGCGTGCCGCTCGCGCCGACGCCCTCGAATAGCGCCTCGAGCACGTGCTCTGCCAACTCGGACACGAAGGCCGCGTCACTCGCCAGCGCCTCGCGCGCCTGCTCCACCGCCGCGGGCGGGACGTTGCTCAGCGCCTGCACCGCATCCAAAAACGCCTCGCGCTCTGCGCCGAGCAGCGGATGCAGCCATAGTTTCACCGCGTTCTGCGCGCCGCCGCTCGCCAAGCGCACGAAGTTCTGCGTTTTCAGGTGCAGAAAGTCGTCGACCAGCACGCGGCAGTACGCTTCCTCGAAGCTGTCTTGCGCGTAGCTGACGAGCGCGTGAAACACGCTCGGGACGCCTGCGCTCTTCTTCACTGCGACGAGGTCCGCCAGCCGGCAGAAGCTCAGGTTGCTGAGCACGTACTCGCTGGTGTCCTGCGCCATCATCCAGCGCACTTCGCGGCAGATGTGCACCGTCGTCGCCGCGACGTACTGCTCGAGCAGCTGTCGCACGGTGCTGCGCAGCGCAACGCTGCGCGCAAGTTCCTGCGCGCAGTAGTCCACCAGCAGCAGCCGCAGCTTGTCCTTGCGCACCTTCGAGCGCAACTCGCTGTCGCCATCCGCGAAGACGCGCGCGTACAAAAAGTCGTCGAGCGTTTGGCCGGTCAGCTCGTCGAACTGCGTCTCAGGCACGCGCAGCGCGTCCGCGCCAAACTGCGCTTCCTCGGCCGCGGCCGCCGGGTTCTGCAGCAGCCGCCGCTGCAACGCGAGCGCAGCTTTCGCGAACAAGCGCTGCGTCGGGAGTGTCTGCAGAAACGCGCGGAAGCTCTCCGCCTGCAGCAGGTCGTGGAAGAGCAGCGAACTGCTCAGCCCGCCGGCGTGCCGCGCTCTGCTCGGCTTCTTCAGCTTGCCGCTCGCGGCAGGCGCACTCGTCGCGGACGTATTCGTCGCGGACGCATTCGTCGCGGGCGGCGCGCCGACTGCCGCGACGGCGCCGCGCGAACTCTTCAGCTTGAGCACGTCGAGCAACTCGGGAATCGTTGCGCGCTCGAGCACCAGCTGCTCGGCGCTGCGCAGCGCCGCGTCTTGCTCGGCGCGCGCCACACTGCGCCGCACCGTGCACTCGACGAAGTACTGCGCAGCCAGCTCCGCAATGATGTACAGCAAGTTTTCGGTGAGTGGAGGGCAGAGCAGGTGCCCAAAGTGGTACACGATGAACGGCACGTCGTGTCGGTCCACCAGCCGCAGCTTCAGAAACCGCGTGACCGCGTCCTCCAGCACTTCCTCGATGCGCTGCTCGGGGCTGAAGAACACGTAGTTCGTCGCGTCCGCCTCGTTGGACGGCGAGGTGCCCGAGTTGCGGAAGACTTTGTCGAAGCGCGCGCGCTGCTTCTCTTCGTCGAACACCAGCGAGAGCGGGAACTCGAGGTAGTTGCCCTCGGCGACCTCGTAGCCGAGCACGAGCGCGTCGGCCTCGTAGCAGTCGGCGTCGAACTCGCGCAGCTTGCGGCAAACCCACCGCGCGTGCGCGCGCAGCGCCGCGGGCGACGCGTCGAACGCTTCGCTTCGCAGCAGCTCCGCCAGCCGCTCGCCTGGCTCCGGCGCCGCCGCCGGCGCGGCGCTCGCCACCGCCGCGCTCGAAGGTTCCGGCTCGACGCAGAAGCGCTGCCGCCCGCGCAAACAGTCAAACAACAGCGACAAATTTGCGCCGAAGAGCGCTTCGAGCGTTTGATTCACGCCGGCGCTCCACTCGCCGCTCGCCGGCGGCGCGGCTTCTAGCGCCGGCGCTTCCGGCCCGAGCGGCTCCTCGGCTTCGAACGGCTCGTCGGCGAATAGTGCCTCCTCGGTCTCGTCGCGCGCCTCCAGCGCGTTCACGACTTCCCAGTCCTCGGCCTCCAGCTCGATTTCGTCGAACAGGAACGACTGCGCCTCGATTTTTACTTCCTCGTGGTCGCTCATCTCACTCGGTTCCGCAGCGCTGCGAGAGCTGCGTCTACACAATGAGAAATTTTGCAAGCATTTTCGCATTTAATTAACGATCGCCTCCTGCGGCATGAAAAGAGAGAATCGGGGCGGCGCGCCTTTGCTCGGCCGGTTCAAGGGCAACGTGAAAATTGGACTCATCGGGCTGCCGAACGTCGGCAAATCCTCTACGTTTAACCTGCTGTCTAAGCAAAGCGTGCCGGCGGAGAACTACCCGTTCTGCACGATCAACCCCAACGAGGCGAAGGTCCACGTGCACGACGCGCGCTTCGACCATCTCTGCAAAATGTACCAGCCGAAAAGCCAAGTGCCGAGCAGCATGACCGTCGTCGACATCGCGGGGCTCGTGGAAGGCGCGCACAAGGGCGAAGGGCTCGGCAACGCGTTTTTGAGCCACATCCAGCGCGTAGACGCGCTTTTCCACGTCGTGCGCGCGTTCGACGCGGCCGACGTGACGCACGTCTGCGGCGACGTGTGCCCCGTGCGCGAGCTCGAAATCATCAGCAGCGAGCTGCGGTTCAAGGACCTCGAGAAGGCCAACGCGCTGAAGGCCGAGCTCGAGCGCGTGATCGCGCGCGGACAGGGCAAGAGCTTGAAGACGAACCTCGAGGTCATCGAGAAGGTCATCGAGCTGCTCGAGCAGAAGAAGTGGATCGCCAGCTACGACGATTGGTCCGCGCAGGACTGCGAAGTGCTCAACGAGCAGTGCTTCCTCACCGCGAAGCAGCTCGTCTACCTCGTCAACGTGTCCGAGCGCGACTTTCTGCGCAAGAAAAACAAGTACCTCCCGAAGATCGCTGAGTGGACGCAAAACAACCTGCCCGGCCCGGTGATTCCCTACAGCGTCGAGTACGAAGAGAAGCTGCTCACCGGCGCGCCCGACGCGACCACGCCCAGTCGCCTCAACGCCGTTATCTCCGCCGGCTACGCCGCGCTGAACCTCATCCACTTCTTCACCGTAGGCGCCGACGAAGTGCGCAGTTGGGATATTCGGCGCGGCATGAAAGCGCCGCAGGCTGCCGGCATGATCCACACAGACATGGAACGCGGCTTCATTTGCGCGGACGTTACGAAATACGAGGATCTCGTCGAGCAGGGCAGCGAGGCCGCGGCTAAGGCCGCGGGCAAGGTCGCCACGCGCGGCAGGACGTACACGGTCGAAGACGGAGACATTATGTTTTTCAAGTTTAATCCGAGCGGCGGAAAGAAGAAATAATTTCGAGAAATGGCGCGCGACGAGCCTGTGTCCGGCGCGCCACCCGCAAGCGACAGCCTCACACTCGTCATCAAAAACGAGGACTACACGCTCGGGAACGTGCTCCGCTTCTTTCTGAACCTGCAGCCGCAGCTCGAGTTAGCCGGCTGCACTATCCCGCACCCGAGCGTCAACGAGCTCAACTTCCGCGTGCAGGTCGCGCCAGGCAGCGACGTTCGCTGTGTGCTGCATGCCGCGCTCTCCGACGCGACACGCTACGTGCAGCACGTGGCCGACAAGTTCACAAACGCTCTCGAGCGCTTTGCCCACTGAGCGGCACAATTGATTTTAATTTTGCTTTTTAACTCGGATGCCGTACTGATCGCGCGCGCGCTACAGAGGCTTTCGCGATGATCGGCGCGCTGCTCATTTTTGCCGCGAGTCTCGGCGCCTTCTACTACTTCATCAGTTGCGGAGTCGCGCGCTCGCTGATCTTTCTCGCCAGTTTGATCGGCAAACACACCGGCTACTACGTTACCAGCGAGAACGCGCTGCGCTTCTCGAAACGGCTCGGTCCCGGCGCACAACTCGCCGTGCACTTCTCGCTACCACGCATCGAGAAACGCGCGCTGCGCGTCGAAGCCGTCCAGCTCACGCTGGTGCTCGACCACAACGCGCGCAGCGACGCGAAGACGGCGGCCGCCAAGTCGAGCGGGCTCCTACTCACCGCCGTGCAGCCCAAACACCTGTTTCAGCTCGAGCTGTTGAAACTGCTGTGGCGCTTCTCGCTGCTGCTGGTCGTCGAACACTTTGCTGCGACCGTGCAGGTCGTGCTCGACAAGGAGTTTCCGGACGCGGTCGGGCTCGGCGCCGGCGCGGCGCCGGCGCCGCCGCTGCCCGCCGCGCAGCGGCTCGACTACGCCTTCGCGCTCTCGGGCGCGACGCTGCTGCTCGCGGCCGACTACGCGTTCAGCGTCAAGCGCTGCGTCGCCCCTGCGAGCGGCGTGGAGACGCTCACGCTGCGCAACGTCAAGTTTTCGCGCTGCGCGGCGCCCGCGCAGGCCGCGAAGCTGCGGCTCGAGTCTGCGAGCGTAGTGCTCGAAGACAGCTGCCTCGCCAGCCTATGCGTCGTGGCGTCCTACTGGCGCTTCCGCTCGCGCAAACTCGCGAGCGCGTGCGCGACGCCCGAGCACCAGTCGAGCGAGTCCGTGTGCACCGACACGGAGCTCTTCGAGCTGCGCAGCTTTGCCGAGCCGCCGCGGCGCTCGCCCCTCAGCGGGCTACTGTCGCAGGCGCAGAAGCCGCTCGTGCGTCTGCCCTCGCTGCTGCAGTTCGTTTTCGGCCCGACCGCCGACGCCAGCGTCACCGTCAGCCTCGAGCTGCTGCACGCGCTCGAGCTACAGCTGCGGCTCACGCACCCTTCCGTCTGGAACCCCGCCGCCACCGCGACTGCGCAGCTGCGCGCAAGCGTCGGGCTCGGCGCGACGACCCTGCGCTTCCCCGCGCGCGAGACTTGCGCCGAGTGCCGCAACTGGGAAGCCGACCGCTTGCTCTGCGTCTTCGAAAGTCGCGTGCGCTTCCTGGAGGCCACGCAGAGGCTGGACGCCGGCGAAGCGCTGCCGCTTCTCTCAAGCGGCGCGTGCAGCGTCGAGTTTGCGCAGTACAAAGACCACCGATTTTTGGCCGTGCGTGACCAGCAGGAGCTTTCGCTTTTCTACGACTCGGAGCTCAGCGTCTCGCTGCTCGAGTGGCAAGCGACCCTGCAAAAATTCTACAAGCTCACAAAGTGCTTCGCGTACCCGAAATGCGAGCTCACGCGCCGCAGCGCGGAGACCGTCGAACTCTGTCTGCGCAACCAACGCGCCGAGTGCGACGCCACGCACGCCGCGCCGTTCGCGCCGGTGCCGCGCGTCTACGCGTTTCTGCTGGGCGTGCACAAGCACTGGGCCGCGTACATCAGCTCCAACAAGCTCGTCGTCGACGTGGAACTGAAAGCAGTCGACCTGTACTTCGCGAGCAACCGCCACCTTGGCCGCCGCGTCGAGCAGCTCGCTGCCGCGAAGCCCGGCACGCTCGGCGCTCTCGCGCGCTGGCTCGCCGGCGCGTCCCGCGACGCCGACACCGACAACGCCACCGACAACGGCACCGACAACGGCACCGACAACGGCACCGACAACGGCACCGACAACGGCACCGAAAACGGAACCGGCAACGGAACCGGCGACGGAACCGAAAACGGAACCGAAAACGGAACCGAAAACGGAACCGGCAACGGAACCGGCAACGGAACCGGCAACGGAACCGGCAACGGAACCGGCGACGCGGCCTTCCGCGTCCGCGTCAACAACTTTCTCTTCAACTACAGCTCCGCCGCCTCGCGGTACGTTTGCGTGGCGCAGGACGCTGCGATCTTCGACGCCGTCGCGCCCCCCGCCGTCGTGCCGCGCGCCACTGCGCCGGCAACCACGTCGCGCGCTCACCGCGAGCGCAGCTGCGCGTCGCAGTTGCTCCGCGCGGCCGCGCTTCGGAGAAAGACCAGCAACGCTCTGCAGTCGCCGCTGCTCGCGCTGCACGACGTCGCCTTTGCGCTGCCGCTCGACGGCACCGCCATGAAGCTCAGCATCCGCAACGCCGTCTGCCGCACGCTGCACGGCGACGCAACTGCCGTAGGCAAGACCGTGCTCGACGCGTACGTCGACAAGTGTCTCTGGCTGCTCAACTCGCTGCTCTTCGGCATCGCCAAAGTCTCCTGCTTCAAGCAGAGCTGCCTCGGCTACTTAAACTACACGCTGAAGCCGAACCCGTTCTCCTCCTGCTTCTTGTTGCACATCGGGAGCTTCCAGCTGAACTACAACTACGTGTCGATGCAACTGCTGAACTTCAAGATTTTCAAAGACGTCGTCTACAACGCCGCCTTCGTGTGTCTCAGCGAACTGACGCTGTTCCACTCGAAAACTGAGTCCGAACTCATCATGCTGAAAAACGTCATCTTTCGCTTCGCGGTAGTCTCGCACCGCGTCGAGACGACCGCGCTGCCGCAGCACGTGCCGCCGCACTCCCCGCCGCCGCTCCCCGGGCGCTCAGCTGTGCTGCCGCCGCTGCGCTTGAACGAAGCCTACCTCGACGCGCTCGCGCTGTACTCGCAAAACGTTTTCGCCGACGCCGCCGCCTGCTCGCCGCGGACTTCTGACTCGCTCTTCGAGCACCTGTTTCGCGAAGCCTGGTTCGACGCCTCGCACCTGCTGCTCCGCTTCTCGGCGCGGCTGCTGGAGGACCACACGCTTTTCCACTACTTCGAAGCGCTCTACGCCATTATCATGAACTTCGTCGGCACGGCTGAACTCAGCGCGAGCCTCGCCGCGTTGCACCGCAAGCGCCTCAGCAAGCTCACGACTTATCTGCTGGGCATCGGCGTGCGCGTGCCCGCGGTCGCACTGCTCTTTGTGAGCAGCGCGCCGCGCGCACCTCCGCAGCCGCTCTTCGTAGAGTACGGATTCAACTCCTCGGACGACGAGCTCTACGCGGACGCCGTCTGCGCGCCCCGCGCCGCAGAGGCGCCGGCGCGCGCGCAGTCGCGCGCGCAACGGGAAGACGAGCGAGACGCTGGCGCGTCGCTCAGCTTCAACGACCTGGACGCCGCCTCAGCGCTCGAAGCCGGCTCTGAGCCGCCATGCGCGCAAGACAGTGCGTTCCGCCTCGCGCTCGCCGACACCGTCTGCTGCGCACGCGACCGACGCCGGCTTTGCGCGGCCAACGACGGTTCCGGCACGCTCTGTGGAGAGTCTGTCCACGAGTCTTCGCAGAAAGTCTCTTACTACCTCAACGAAATGCTCAACTTGCTCTTCGGTTGCGAGGACTTTTTCAAGCCCAGTCTCGAACGCAAGCTGCGAAAGTCTGTCGACTCCTTCTTCGTAAACATGGACAGCGGCAAGCACGTTCCATGGCTCGAAGGCCTGGTGCACGGGGCGCGCGCGCCGCTCGCGAGCGCCGGCGCCGCGCGCGACGCGCAGACCTTCGCCTTTCCCGCGCACTTGCTGGTCGGCTTTTTCGCGGCGCTCCGCCGCGACGCGGCTGACGCTGCCGCGGCGCACAACTCGCTGCGGCTGCGCGACACGGTCGGTTGCGTCGAATGCTGGACGCCGCGCGCGCCGGAGGTCTTCGGCAGGTGCAGCCGAGTGGACCTCGCGGTGGGCGACGTCACGCTGCAGAGCGCCGACTTGGCCTGCACGGCTAGTCTGCGCGAAGCCTCCTCGGTCCTGAACTTGCTCTGTTTCGGAACGCGCACGTCGGTCGCAACAGTCACCGCGAACTTACGAGTGCTGCCGAGTTTGGACACGCTGCGCAGCGTTGCCGCCGGCGTCGCGAAACTGTCGCAGCTGATGCTCCGACTATCTGCTCAGGTCCCGAGCCCCTCGGAAGCTACACGCACTAGCGCGGTCCACGGCGCCGCTGCCGCGGCCTGCAACCCGGACGCCGCTGCTCGCGCGCGCGAGGCGCTCGCCGACGCTGCAGAACTCGACCTAGCCGCGCCCGATGTTCCGGGCCGCACCGCAGACGGCTCTGCGGCAGAGCCGGTCGCGGCGCAACCGGCCGCCGAAACGCTGCAACAGTCCCACTACTTCCAGGCGCGCGCCATTGAGCTGCAGGCGTACTCCATCAACGTCAAATGCGACGCGGGCCTTATCGCCGATATGAGGCTCGCTGGCGAGGCGCGCCAAATCAGCTTGAAGCTGCTGCCCTCGGTGAGCAGCCACATTGACTGCTACCGGTGGCTCAGTCTGGACAACATGACCACGGTGCAGCTCACCGAAAACAGCTGCGACGTCGAGCTGCACTCCGGGAATTGGAACACGCTGCTTCTCAACAACGTGGTCGTCGAGCGCCTGTTGGCGCTGCTCACGCTGATCCTCGAGCGCGACGGCGCGCATCTCGCGACCTGGCTGCGCGCCGGGCGCGACAAGTCCGACAACGCGGCCGACCTTCTGCTCGACTGTCCCGACGTGTTTGAACACGACGCAGCGTCCTGCGCGGAGCACTCGCTGCTCTACGGCGGCGGCGTCGCGGACGCGGCCGTCGACGCCGGCGAGGCCGCGGTGGCCAGCTCGGAGATGGCTACAGACTCGACTGCCGCGTCTCTCCCATTCTCGTTCGCGCTCAAGCGCTGCGCGTCCACGAGCGAAGCTTACCGGTCGCGTCCGCAGCGCGACTCTCTCGAGTCGTCGAGCGAGCCGAGTCGTTGCGCGGCAGCCGTCGCGTACCACCTTGAGCTGAACAGCTTGTTGCTGCAGTTCTCGAACTCGATCTTGCTCTCCTGCACGCGCCTTGCGCTCAGCAGCGAACGCATCGTCTTGGAGGATGTGCAGGGCGCGGAGTTCTCGGACGCGGGCGCCGCAGCGGCGCTGCTCGAGCTCGACTCGCTGGTCGTGCGCCGCGCACAGGAGCGCGAGCCGTTTCTGTTCGACGAGATCACCGCTGGCAAGCTGACGCTGAGTCTGGCCGCGCTGCAGCTCGAGCGCAGTCTGCGCGCAGCGTACTGCGGCCTGTGCTACAACCTCAACGTGTGGCGCTACTGCCTCAAGCGCTTTTCGCCGGCGCCGGCGCGCAGCGCGGCCGCGACTTCCCCGCTGCTGTCGCGCTCCGTGGCGCTGACGGACGTTGCGCTGGTCGCGTCCAACCGGTGCTTCGACTACCGCGAACACGCCGCGGCCGCAACGCCCGCGGCGCGTCTCCTGTGCCGCGCGGCGCAGCAGCGGCTCGACGGCCACGCCGCCATCCCGCTGTGCGCAGTGAACGCGCCGCGGAAAGCGCGCCACCTCTACGCGCTCGATTGCCTAGACCTCGAAGCCGCACGCGGCGCTGCGCCGCTGCGCAGTCCCGCGTATGCGCGCTTTGCGCCGGCCAACGCGCTGATGGTCTTTCTGTCGCGGCCGACGGGGCGGGCCGCAGCTCCTGCGGCGCAGCTCAAGCTTTGCGTCTGCGCGCCGCTCATCGAACTGCGCTGCTACGCGGCCAGCGAGGACCTCGCCGCGCATTTGGAGCTTGCGCAAAACGCGCAAATGTTCCATCACGCGCTGCTGCTCGCGAAGCTCGCCAACATCACGACGGTCGAGGCCGAGCTGTTTCTGTACGTCAAACAGAACCGCGTGCTGCACAGCGTCGTGCACCTCGGCTCCGGCCACTTGAAGAGCTTGCGCCACAACTACGTGAGCGTCTCGAACCTGGCGGTCCGCTGCTACCAGAACGAAGCCTACGCAATCAAGGCGCTCAGCGCCTCGCTCGCCGCGCTCGGCGCGATCTTCAGCGAGGTGAAGTGTTTGCGCAGACCCTACGGCCTGTGCGAGCCGACAGCGCTCTGCCGCCCGGCGCAGCCGGGCAGCGCGAACAACTACGCGGTGCTGAAGATGCAGCCGGCGGTAGACACCGTTTCGGTCGACCGCGGACACTTACTGTTTTTAATGGACAACGACGTCGTGCTGCTGTTCGCGACGCTGCGCGACTTCGGCTACAAGCGCAAGACGCTCAGCAACTCGCGCGCGCTGCTGAAGATCGTTCTGCGGCAGCTCTCCGCGATGACCTCTTCGGCGTTCATTCGGCCGAGCCAGCCGGAGAACGCGCAGTACTTGGTGCCGGTGTTCACGCGCATGGTCGAGCAGCAAACGGTGCTACGCAGCCTGCGGCCGACGCGCGTCACGAAGAGCGAGCCGACCATGTTTCTGCTGCTAGAACTCGTGTACGAGCACCGGCTGCCGGGCAGCAGTCCGCGGCCGAACCACGAGGGCAACATCTTCACCCGCTTTCTGGGCAACAAGAACCTGCGGAAGCGCGTGGTCGCGGCGAACCCACTGTTCCGCCACTACATCGACGAAAACAAGATTGCTTTCTACTTCACGGCGCGACTGAACGTCACGCCCCTCGCGCTGAACCTGCAGCAGAAGTACATCGAACTGCTGCGGCGCTTCGTCACCGAGCGCGCCGCGGGCTCGAACGCCGAGCACTGCCGCCTCGCAGACGAGAGCCTGCGCCGCGCCAGCGACGTCGGCTCACCGCTCAGCGGCAGCGCGTCGTCCGCGGCACGCTTCGGCGACAGCGCGTTCCGCACGCCGATGCGCTCCAGCTTTAATTCTGCGCTTGCGCGGCTCGGCAACGTCAGCGCCGCGGAGACCGCGCCGCTGCACGACACGTCGCGCGAGCCGGCGCTGACGGCCAACACCTCGCAGCACTCGCTCTCGTCCGTCAGCGAGCTAGCCGGAACGTTCACGCAGTACCGCTTCAGCCGCTTCGCAGACCGCCTGCGGCTGAGCTTCAGCACGAACTCCGCAGTGGCGAGCAAGCCGCTCGGCTTCGACGCCGCGGACGCGCAGCACTGCGGCGCGGAGCTGCTCTTGCTCGAAGTGGACGCCACGACGCTCTTGCGCGACGCGCTCGCGGCGCGCGACCCGCTCGCGCTGCCGCGCACCGCGCTGGACGCGCCGGAGCCTGGCGACCACAGCGCGAAACGCTGTCGGCAGGACGCGCCGCCCTCCGAGGGCGGCTCGCTCGCGGCTTCGCCGGACGCGTGGAAAGCCGCGAACAGCAAGAAGCGCAAACAGTTCGCGGCGTCTGCGCGCTGCGGCAAGAGCGTCGTCGTCGAGAACTTCATCATCAACGCGTTCAAACTGAACTTGACGTACCTGGGCATCATCAACTTGCGACAGACGATCCTCGAGTTCGACATCACAGTGCTCGAGAACTTGCGCGGCGCGAATTTGCCCGACGTGCTGCGGCACGTCATTTGGAGCCTCGCGACGATGACGATCGGCAAAACCATCCGCAAAAAAATTAGCAAAGTGCTGCCGCGCAGCAAGGGCCGCAAGCGCCGCACGATCAAGAACGTGCTCGCGAAGAAGGTGCGCATCGGGCTGCTCAGCGAGAAGTACGAAACTGTCGAGTCCGTCATCGAAGAGCTCATCAAGTCGTGACCCGCGACAGCCTTTTCGGTCCGCCGCGTGGACCGCTCGGCGGCGCGCAAACGAGCCTTTCGCTTCTAGCCTATGTGCTATGATCAGTTTGATTTAAAAAGTTCTAAGTCATTTAACCATGACTTGTTGCCCACAGGGCAATCATGAGTTAACTGATCTTTCTTTTGAATGGGCTGAGAAACCAGGTTTCTCGGCTCGCGGGTTGCGCTTGATTTCACTCCTCTCGCAGCGGCCCATAAAGGTTTTCGGACCTGCAATTTTTCGCGTAACTGCACAACCGCGCAAGCGTTTTCACACTCTTATCGCACCGCAGTCGTGCTGCGCCGCGCAGTCGCCGAACTTTAAGCAGATGTGGATTGTAAGCAGTTACGGAGTGTGGGCGGCGACTCGCAGGCTAGCGTGCTAGCCGCCGGAGCCGCCGCCGTCGGTGTGCCAAAGTTCAGGAAGTCGGCTGCCGAGCGCGGCAGTCGCTGCTTTACAGTGGCGTTTGCGGAGAAAAAATGACGGCGAGACAATAACGAGCGCTTAATTATTTCCTGTAATTTGCGACTAATGGCGTTATCTTTGTCCGCTCCCATCGAGTTCAAAGGCGTCCTCCGAGGGCACAGCAAATGGGTCACGAGCGTCGACGTGTCGCCCGTCGTCTCGAAGGACGGGGCCTACCAGATCGTCACGAGCTCGCGCGACGGACGCGTCATCCAGTGGAACGTGCTGCCCGAGGCTTCTGATGCCAACGCCGGCGCGGCCGGCGTCGCCGTCAAGTCCTATTCGAAGCACAACGGAACCATCAACCAGTGCGTGCTCTGCAAAGACGGCGCGTTCATGCTAACGGCGTGCGACGACAAGACGGTGAACATCTGGAGTCTCGAGAAACAGCAGTTCTACAAGCGGCTGGTCGGCCACACGAAGAACGTCACCGGCGTCGCAGTCTCGCCGAACACGAAGTTCATTGTCACGTGTTCGCTCGACAAAACGGTGCGCTTGTGGAACACCATGGGCGAGGAGCGCTTCTGTTTCCGCCCCAAGGGCACCGAGGAGGCGATCACCTGCATTGTCTTCAGCCAGGAAGAGAAGCGCAACCTCATCATCGCGGGCTGCGCCGACGGCAGCATCAAAATCTGGTCGCTCGACGACATTGTGCAGCTGCACTCGCTGCATGGACACACCGGCACGATCAACGCCATCGCGCTCTCGCCCGACGGCTCGCTGATCGCCTCCGGCGGCAGCGACGGGCGCATCCAGCTGTGGGACCTCACCGAGTGCAGCCACGTCTACACGATCGACGTCGGCAGCCCGGTCCAGTCCGTCTGCTTCTCGCCGGCGAACTACTGGATCAGCGTCGCGACCGAGACCGGCATCCGCATCGTGCACTTGGAGAAAAAAGTGAACTTCAGCTACATCCGCATCGTCGGCGACCAGCGCCCCGACAACAACGAGGCGCAAATCCAGGAATGCCGCCGCAAAAAAAACACCGAACCCGCCATCCTCGGCACCGTCATGCTACGCCAGAAACCCAGCAAACATTTGCCCTGGATCACTTCGCTCAACTGGTCGCACGACGGCACTTACTTGTTCGCCGGCTCCAGCGACTCGAACGTGTACGTCTTCGGCGTGCGCCCCGAAGCGGTCTACTAAGCGCTAATATTTGTAACACACGGTGTATGACTTCATAGGGTTGCATGCTTCGCAATGGCACGCCACCACGGCGCTTTCGACCTCGCCGTTCGCGCAGCGCTTCGTCGCACGCGCCGAGCGCCCCCACGCGCTCCCCAACTTCTTGTTGCTGCTGAACAGCACTTTGCACTGGCTGCCCAGCGGGTAAAAGCTCATCACGGGCACCGTCTCGCCGAGCCCCAGCTGCGCCGCCACCGGCGGCAACTCGCCGCAGCATCCGCTGCAACCCGCCGACGGCTGCGCGCCCGCGTATTTGCCGCGCAGGTTCAGCGGCGCGCCGCCGCAGCAGCGCTGGGCGGCCGGCGGCTGCGCGCTCTCGCGCGAATCGCCGCCCAAACGCGCGTTGCTGCATCCCGCCACGCACGCCGCGAAGTGCCCGCTCGCGCCCGCGCAACGCGCGCCGCGACTGCAACAGCTTTCCGCGCACGGGGCGCTCTCCCTCGCGCGTCCGTGCTCGCGCCCGCGAGACGCGCTGCAGGTTGTGCAACGCGCGCAACCCCCAGGCGCGAACTCCGAGCGAGCTGCAGCCCGCTGCTGGCTCACGTTGACCACGGCCGTTTTCCCCGCACCCGGACCGCAGCGCGCCGCCGTTGGCGCAGCCGCGCAGTCACTCGCGGAATTTGCGCGCGCGAGCTCGGGCTCAGCGCTGAGCGCCGCGCCGCACTCGTCAGCTGCGTGTCCGCGTCGCTCTTCGCGGCACTCTTCGCGGCGCTCTTCGCGGCGATCTTCCCCTGACTGATCTGCGTTCTCGTGAGTCGCGCGCTCCACTGGGCGGTCTTTCGCGCTGCGACGGGTCTTAGACGGTTGTTTCGCGCCGACGTTGCCCTGCACGCTCTTCATCGGCACGTGGATCACGGCGCCGCTCAGGTCGAACCGCGAGTCCAAGCCCAATGACTCCGCAAGCAACTCATAGAGCCGCGCCTTCGCTTCGTCCATCTCAGTTCGGGGCTGCGACTCCGAGTCGCTGTCGCCCTCGGAGCCCGGCCGCGGAAGCGACGCCGCGTCGCCGCGCGAATTTCGCGGCAACGCAGAGGCCAGCGACTGTTTCACGCTGTTCAAGCCACTCGAAAACGACCGACGCACCGACTTGATGTGCTCCGGCAAGTCGCGCATGACTTCGGTCGCGCCGCTGTTCAGCTGGTCGAATCCGTCCTTCGTTTTACAAAGTGCCGTGTATATCGGCAACTCGTTCTTTTTCGCCTTCGCCGCGCCGCTCTGCACGTAGCCCGCGCCGCGCGCAAGCTCACCGCGGTGCGCAGCGCAAACATGTTGGCTGCAGTGCTGATTCATTCTACAGAACAAGGCTCATTTATGAACATGCAAGGTGCAGACGCCCTCGGCGGCGGAAATAGCATGAGCACTTCCGCGGCCGCCGCCTGCGGCGGCCAAGCGCTGCGCGGCGCGTCGCAGCGCGGCGAGCTCTTGCGGCAGCGCCGCCTCGCTTGCCAACTCTGGAATGCGCTGCAACTCCTCGACGGCGCGCTCCGCGAACGCGGCGCTCAGCCGCTCTCGGTCCTGCAGCGTCCACGCCGAGTAGAGCTGCTGCAAGTCGCTGAGCTTCGCGGAAACGTACCTCACCAGCTCTTTCGGCGCCACCGGCAAGTGCTCGAAGATCTGCAAAAAACTCAGCGACGCGTTCGCCTCTCCGCTCTCCAAACCATGCGCGAACTGTGCTAACATCGCAGTCTCGCGGCTCGGCTGCGGTGCGCGCAGCACGCCGTGCAGCGCCTTGTCAGCGACGCGCACCGCCTCGCAACAAAGCACGCCGCTCGCCAGCTCAAAGTTGCGCTGCTCCTCGCGCGATACGAGCGACTCGGAAAAGCTCAGCAACACATTTTGCACCACGAGCGGCAGTTGCTCCGCAGCCTCGACGTTGAAGCTCAGCACAGAGTAGCTGCGGTTTGCGCCGCTGAAGCTCGAGTACGCGGAAACCGCGAAGTTTTTCTCACCCACCGACACCACGACGGGCAGGCTCACGCGCGTTTCCGGGCTCGCGAAAGCGGACACATACGCGACGTCAAAGTTTACGGCGGGCACGCACTGCGCGCCCAGCTCGAGCAGCACAAAGTACTTCTCGGGGCACATGCAGAGCTTTATCACCAGCGTTTTGAAGTTCTGCATCTGGCTGGCGTTCTTCTCGTCGTCGCCCGGCACGTAGCGAAGTAGCGAACGCGGCGGAAGCAACGCGCGCTGGAACAACGTAGCGCCGCGAGCGGGCAGCGCCACACCGCGAGTCGGCAGCGCCACGCGCGCAAACCCCGGCTCCAAAAGAGACGCGCTTTCGCTGCGCAATCCGCGGCCCGCAGAGCGGCAGGACACCGCGCGCTTCGACTCTTCGGCGCTCAAAGCATGTTCCAGCGTCGGCTCGCGCTGGCTGCCTAGCGTCTCCGCAAACAGTCGCGTGAGCTCCGAAACACTCGAAAACGGCACTGCGCTCCCGCGCGTCACAATTTCCGAGAACAAATGTTCCGACAGTTTCGCGCTCGGCTCCACAATGCCATCCAGTAACTGCTCCTGCTCCAGCGCGCTAAGGTTCTGCAGCCGCGCCTCGAGCTTCTGCTTCGTAGTACTCGCTATTCCGACACCCTCGCAGAAAGCGAAGCGCTTTTCGCTACAACTCAACAGTCGCACTACGATGTTCGTCGCGGTCGCCGCGTCCGACATGACGCTAAAGCGCAGGTCGAGATCCTGCCTCGCGCAGTTCTGCAGCACGAACACGCTAGGCGACGAGCGGTTCTCCGAACGCCGCCACAAATAAACCACCGCGAACTTTTCGCCGTCCAGCATCTCGGCTATGCAGCGCACCTGCTTGCTCGAACTCAAGAACGCTTCGTCATCAGCCGACAAACTGGTGGCAAACAGGTCCACTGCGCCGCCGCCTCGCAGCTCTGCCTCCGTCGGTGACGCCAACCCGCTCGCCGGCGCCACGCACTCATACACGCAGTAGAAGAACCGGTGGCGCGAATACGCGTCAACGCTCCAGGCCGACGCGGAAAACGCGTCGAGCTGCACGGCCACGGGCTTCGAGATCACGCAGCCCACGAGGTCCAACGCCTCGTAGACCTTCAAATTGGCCGCGAAGCTTTTGCCCGTCAAGTTCACGACGCGAATCGTCACGCGACTCGTAGCCTCGCCGGCGGGACGCGCCGCGGCTGCGCCTAACCGCGCAAAGGACTTCGGCGCGCTGTTGAACCGCGCAGAACTCAGCACTTGCGTGCAAAGCGCGTCGTAGATCAGTTTGCTGCACGACTCCGGCAGCTGCCGCAAGGCCCCCACGCCGCGCGCGTCACACGGGTCTTCTTCGACCGCCAGCAACTTTCCCTCTTCTCTGCGAATCTCCTCGTTGAAAAACGACATGATGCTCAGCAGCGAGTTCTTCTGCGCCGCCGACGTCGCGGACGCGCGCTCGAACTGCGACAACGCACACGCAAGCTTCTGCTGGTAAAACAACGCCTCGCTGAACCAAAACTCGCGCATTTCGCGGATCAGCGGCTTCCCAAAAGCAGTCTCGAAAAAGATCACCGACACCGTAGCATCCTCTACGGCGTACTTTGCACTCAGCACGTTCAGCGGCGCTTCGACGCTGACGGCGAAGGCGTTGTTCCGCAACCGAAACTGGACGCTCACGCGGTGCAATTCGCCGCGCAGCTGCGCGCCGTACGTGAACTCAAGACTCCACGCGTCCGGGTGCTGCGCCGCGCGCAGGCGCAGCAGCGACCGGTGCTGCACGCCGACCTCTAGACGCTCAGGAAATGCGACGGCGTGTCCCGCGTTTCGCGCATCCAAAAATTCGCAAAACAGGTCGCACGAACAACTGTTTATCTGATCAATGCGGATAGTCTGAAAGCCATCATGCATGTTCGCACGTAGCTCGGCCCATTAATCAGCTCGCGGTCCGTTCACCGAGCTGACAGCCATCGTGTGCGCGAAAAAGCCCGTCGGAAAATATTTGTCGCCGCAAAATACGAGCGAACACAGCGCATATTCGTTAATATGAATTCAGCGTCAGAGCTTCTTCGCTGAGCTTCTTAAGTAGCGCGGCAAAGTGCTTGTCTATCTGCTCTTTCGTCCAGCTGGGCTCAATAAACTTCATGCGCCCGATGTTTAAAATCGTCTCGTGCATCGCGGCCTTGACCAACTGCATGGTCGCAGCGCCTGGCTTGTTCGAGTCGTGCAAAAAGCCCAGCACGGTCTTGTAGAACGCCGCAATCAGCCGCATCATGTTCAGCGTCTTCGGCAGCGGGCAGTTGTAGTCGTAGTCCGAGAACGCGTTTTGCTGCAGAAAGTCCTCGCGAATCATTTTCGAAACGTCGAGAATCAGCTTCTGGTCTTCGCTCAACGAGTCGCGGCCGACTAGCTGCACAATTTCTTGCAGCTCGACTTCCTTCTGCAGCAGGTCGCAAAACAGTCGCTGGTTGCTGACGAAGGTCCCGTCGATCTTCGCAAAGAAAGGCGCGAGCGAGTCGACGTACTTCGAGTAACTTTTCGTCCAGTTCACCGACGGGAAGTGCTTGCGCTGCGCCAGCTTCTTGTCGAGGCCCCAGAAAACTTGCACGATGTTCATCGTGCTCACCGTGACCGGGTCGCTAAAGTCGCCAGCCGGCGGCGAGACGGCGCCGATCACCGTAATCGAGCCGGTACGCTCCGGCGCGCCAAAGCAGCGCGACTTGCCTGCCCGCTCGTAGAACGTCGCGAGCCGGCCACCCAGGTACGCCGGGTAGCCGCTGTCCGCCGGCATCTCGCCGAGCCGGCCGCTGATCTCGCGCAGCGCCTCTGCCCAGCGCGACGTGCTGTCTGCGAGCATCGTCACATTCAGCCCCATGTCTCGGAAGTACTCGCTGATCGTGATCCCCGTGTAGATCGAAGCCTCGCGAGCGGCAACCGGCATGTTGCTCGTGTTCGCGATCAGCACGGTGCGCAGCATCACGTTGACCTCCTCGCCGTCGTGTTTCGTCATCAATTCCGGAAACTCAGTGAGCACTTCGGCCATCTCGTTCCCGCGCTCGCCGCAACCAACGTACACCACAATGTCGGTGTTCGAGTACTTGCTCACCGCCTGCGAGACGCACGTCTTCCCGCAGCCGAACGCACCCGGAATGCCGCACGTGCCGCCCAGCGCAGCGGGGAACAGCGAGTCGAGCACGCGCTGCCCAGTGATCAGCGACTCCGTCGGTTGCAGCTTCTGCACCACCGGGCGCGGCTTCCGCACGGGCCACACCTGATACCCTTTCACCGCTACAGACTTTTTGTCTGTTTCAATCTCGGCGAACACCGTTTCGATGTTGTAGCTGCCTTCCTGCAGCAGAAACTTCAGCTTGCCCTTTACGCCGTACGGCACCGTTATCAGGTGCTTCGAGAGCACGCTGTTTTCAAAGCAAGAGCCCAGCACGTCGCCACTCGCGACTTCGCGCCCGAGCTGCGCGCCCGCCGACGGCGCCCATTTGTACAGCGCTTCGCGATCCAGAATGTTTATCGAAATACCGCGAGGAATGAACACGCTCTTCGTTTGCCGCTTGATCTGCTCCAGCGGCCGCTGAATGCCGTCGAAGATACTTCCGAGCAGTCCGGGGCCGAGCTCCGCGGACAGCGGGCGGCCCGTCGGCTTCACTGGCTCGAAGGCTTTCAGCCCACTAGTCTCTTCGTACACCTGAATGTAAGCCCGGTCGTTCTCCAAGCGAATTATTTCACCAATCAATTCGGCGAACCCGACCTTCACAATTTCGTACATCGTGCAGCCCGTCATGTTGCTCGCCACAATAACTGTTTCAACCCCGCAGCAACTTACGCGGCCCGGAAATTTTGACGATCAAACCGGTTTCCGAATGCATGCCGACCCGATCTACGCACTGCTATTTTGCAGAGTTCACTAAATATTATAAATCAAAATCAGTTTTCCTGGATTTCACAGCATTTCTGAGCTTTCGCGCTTTCGCACCGCGATCGGTCCGGCTGCGAACTACGCTCCGGCACAGCAGCGATGTCGCTAACGCTCGAGGGCCGCCTCGCAGTCAGCTTCTCGTTTCCGCCGCCAGCTTCTGCTCAGCTGTGTCTGCTCGGAAACCGTGCGCAATTCGCAGCGCTCTGCGCGCGGCGCAACCTGCTCGACGCTTACGATTTTCTGCACGACTCTTGCAAGACTGAGGTGGGCGGTGCCGCCGCAAAGTGCTTAGTGTGCGTACCTGCGTTATTCGCGAACAGCTCCGCAGCCGAAGAGTCTGCGACGCAGACAGTCGATCCCAACGAATGCATTTCGCTGCGCATCGCCGGCACGCACAACGTGCTGTACGTAGACTACAACTACGCGCACTACGGACTCGACGCCGTCGTTTGGCGGCTCGTGCTTGCAGTAGACCCACAGTTAACGCTGTACACGGTGGAGAAGCGGCTGCTGCCAGCTTTCGCACAGAAAACTTTTTTTTACTGCGCGGTTTGCCCCAATATGCACTTGATGAAGCGGTGGCAAACCGGACTGCAGGAAGCGTTCGTTTTGCAAGACAACTCGGCGTTTGACTACTGCAGCGAATACACCGTTTCGCAACGCCACAACGCCGAAGCCGCGGAGAGATTCGTTCTCTGGCTGCACTCAGTGCTTCCACACGGGAACGCGTTGGTGGTCATGCCGGCCAAGCAGTTTCTCGAGCTGTCGGTCGCGCTCGCGCCGCTGCTGCAGGCGCTCACTAGCGAGGTCATCTTCTACGCCGAGCCGCAGTTTACGCAGGACTTGACGCAACTGGAGAGCTTGGCTCACTTGACGCGCGATCTCGGGCTGTGTCCGGACACGAATGCGCCAGGCAGCGCGCCGAACTACGAAGCGCTGTTGCTCAAGCCCAACGTTCACGCGTCTGACAAAATCGAACTGTGCTGCGTTGCCGCGCAGCGCTCGAGCAGGTTTGCACTGTTTGTCATCAAGGACTACGCGGACGTCGCCGCAGAGCTGTCCAGCAAACACAGCTTCGAAAACAGGGCGCGCTTGAGCGAACTCGACACCGTAACAAGCAAATCGCTCTCGACAGCCAGATCTCTCTCCAGCCTCGAAGCAGTCGCACTCGCCGAACCACAGACCCCGAGCTACGCAGCGAGTTTGGTTGCACAGCTGCGCATTAACTTCCACGCGCACCTGCACGCCGGAAAACCCACTGGACAAATCAAAAGCATCGTTCAAAACTCATTCTCACTCAATCTGTTTTTCGAAACGAACGTAGGCTGGCCCGCCGCGCTTCCAAACGGCGCGCCGCTTTCAATCTACGCGCCAAACGGCTCGCCGAGTATCATAGTCCCGAAATGCGATTCCAGTTCAATGCAGATTTCGGAGCAGTCGCAAACAGCCGGCTCTTATCGAACAGAGCCGCAAACTGAGCGCGCGAAAGTGGTCTACCTAACGCTCAACGACATGCTCGAAGTCGTGTGCTTGCAGGAACCGCAAGACAGCGTCCACTCGTGGGAATCTTGCGGCGGGCTTGTCCAGACGATTAATGAAATTCTTTAGTAATATTATTTGACGGCGCCGAAGCGCTAGTTGAGACTAGGCGCTGCACAGGCGGCAAATAGAGGGCTAATGTTTGATCGGCAAACGAACGACCCTGAACAGGCGTTTGCTGCGCTTTTGCGCAGTGCAAACTTGAGTGACGAGCGTCTCCGATGCGTCGCTGCGCTGAAAGACGATTACTGCAACCTGAACTCTGTCTCCGCTGAACTGCAGCCACACTCGCAAGACGCAGAGCTCGCCGACGCGCTGCAAACCGCTCGAGTGCCGCCGCAGCTCGCGCCCGCTGTTCCGTTGTTGTACAGCATTTTGCAACTCGTACGTTTAACCACCGCCAGTTTTGAGTTCTGGATACGAAGCAAGCAAGCACGTCAAAGACTGGAGCCTGCGCTTGCTTTTCGCAGTTTGCGAGTTTTTCGATGCGTTTACTTCGCACTCAGAGCACACTGCAGACTATTTATTGCGAGATTCTCACAATGCGACGCATTCAGCCTCTGTTGAGAACTGTGCGCTGCGGTTTTTGCAGACGGGTTACACTCTGGTTTTTCTGTTTCACTCCGTGTTCACTTGCTTTGACTGGAACGCTTCGGCCGTTCACAGCTTGCTCTTCCAGCTGCTGCGGATCAGCAGTCTTTCCGTCTTGCGAAACGAAGTTCGTAAAGTGCTGCAGCCCAGCTTAATTAAGTACGTTTTGCTGCCTCGCAACCAAGGCGCCGCCTTCTGCGGCTGCGCGAACGCGCTGCGCGAGTGCGTACTAGCGAACGGCAGCTGGCCGGCGGTTTACAGACTGCTGCGCGCCGAAAGACTAGTCGAACCGCTACTCGCGGCGCTGCTTCCCGAGGTTCTTGCGGTCGACAGCAGTTTCACGCTGGTCGACGAACTCATCGCCTCGTTGAGTGACGCTCTTTGTGCTGCAGATCTGAACACGGAAAAGAGCAGCGGAATTCCCGACAGGATTATGTTCATCTCCGCGCTCGGTTGCGCAACCAACCTGCAAATTAAAGAGCAAACCATGCGGCATGTCACCGAAGACGCTGCACTGGCTGAGTTCGCCGAATTTGTCAAGGCGAGATTCTTGTTCGTCAAGCATCTCGACTCGCAGTTCACTGCGGCGGTCGAAATGCAAATTCCCGGCGTGTACGACAGCTGCGACGCTGACTCGCAGAGTTTCGCGGCCGAGGCGCCGCCTTCCGAGCCTGCGTCTCCCAAGCAGAACGGCAATCGGGCCGCAGCTTCTCCGTCACTGCTCGACGTCGCTCTGGTAACGCCTGGTATTACGTTGCTCATTGAAATCTGCGACATGCCCGCGGACCGCAAAGACCTGCGCGACATTTTCATTCACGAGCTCTGCAGCGCGCTGCAGCCGCACATGCAGAAGCCTGCGCTCGCCGCTAAACTCATATACTTGCTGCTCAACTTCTTCAGTTCCGGCTCGAGCGTCGCAAGCCTGCTCATCTTACTCGAACTCTTGCTCGGGCTGCTCGCTGAATTTTGCTTGGATCTCCAAGGATTCGACCGCCTAGTCCAAACTTTGTTGCTGCTCTCGTCGCACCTCTCTGTCTCAATACGCGCCAAAGCACTCGAATTGCTTGCATCGCTCCTACAACCCTCCGAGCGCGATCTCGGCCTAGTCGACGCAAACGGACCGCGGCTGCGGAAGCCTACGCCGAACGACGTCGGCGCTAACTGCGTTGCCGAGAACCGATCCGTTGAAGTGTTCTTCGGGACGCTGTACGTCGCGCGGCAAGACGCTCCGCTGGTTTTTTACAACATGCGTGACTTGGACTCGGAAACGCTCTGTTCGCTCGAAGTGCTGTTGCTGCTCAGACTGAGTGACGAGAAACCGATCGTGCGCAAAAGCGCTGTCGGTTTGCTTTTCGCGCACTACTTAGCCGTCTGCAGCAGCTCGCTGCGCGACGGGATGCGCTCCATTTTGCGAAACCTGTCTCTGGACACTGCGATCACGGTGCGCTGTCGACTGACGTCCATGCTCGTCGACTTGCTAAACAAGACCGACACGGCGGAGAAACACGCGACAGACCCGCGCGCCCAACTGCTCGCGCTCGAGGCGCTACTGCGGCTAGCGTGCGATCCAGAGCTATCGGTGCAGAACGTGACGGCCAAGTTTCTGCTGCGACTCGCGAGCGCCGGTTTGCAGTCGACAAACTTCCGACTGATCTGTCTGAACAAGCAGTTGTCCTTCTACTTCATCAACGCGCTCGCTAAACTGACCGCCGAGAACGCGGAAAAACTGAACTTGTCTGCGAAAATGTCGCTCAAGGCACTCACCACGTCGCGCGACGAGTGCGACAGACTCAGCGTGTTCTTCCCGCTGCACTTCCTTCTGTGTGCGAGCCAGCTTGACTTTCGCATTCTGCACGCTTCGAGCTTCGCCCGGTTGTGGCGCTCGCTCGCCGACAGTTACTTGCTCGTCAAGGAAGAGGTCGCCGACGCCGAATCTCCGCGTGCAGCGCGCTGTACCTCCGAACCAGACTTGGCGGAGAGACTCGACTGCGTGAAGTCCGGCGACGCGCGCAGCGAACTTCGCGTTTGTCCCGCTTTCTTCCGCGCGATACAGTACAACTGCGAGTTCTCTGCACTCCGCGGCTGCCTGCCTGCGGACTGCGCTTTCTCCGCGTTGGCGTTCGACTCCGAAGCTACCGACATCGACTTCATCTTCAGCGTGTTGCAGTTTCTACTCAGCACGTATCACTGCGCCGCGCTCGACTCGC